TACTTCAATATACTACGTATGCATTAAGGTCCCTTAAAAGCAAGTCCGGCAACTCCAGGGCCACATCCTCGGTGCACGTCTGTCTTGCCATCCTTCCTCTTGGATTCTGCTGTTTTCAGACTTGTTTTAAGTATTTTACTGGTCCAATATTTTTCTCTACATCATGGTGTGAGGAATTTTAAGAACCCCTGGTTCTAAAATTATAAAATCTAAAATGTTGGGGGCAGGACATTGGGCCTTGTGTGCCCTGAGCTGACCTCAAGGTGGCAGGAGCTGGGTCTCTGGGGGGTCTTGGCCCTGATTCCCCCCCACACACACCCGCCAAGGGCGTGTCCTGGCAGCCTTGCTGGGGGTGGAGGGGGTAATGGATTTTCCAGAAGCTGTGGTTGAGGTTCCAGGAGGGAGGCTGGTCTGAGCACCAGGGCAGAATAAAGGCGGAACAGTCTGCCAGCACAGGGCAGCACCCCCTTCTCTTGGAGTCAGTTTTCTCATGTGGAAACTGGGGGTGAATGCTGCCCTGTTAGTTCACAACCCTCTGGGCTCAGCTAGAGGGAGGCTCCCACTGACCCCACCTCACACTAAGAAAGGGTCCAGGGCCAGGCCAGTCACCCCTCTAGAACTTAGCTGGCAGCTAGAGAAGCCCCAACACTTTCTCAAGGAAGGTATTTGGCAAGAGGGTCGGACACCTCATCAGAGGAACAGCAGTGCTGGGTAACCCTTGCCCTGCTCCAGGCAGCTCTGGCACAGCTCTGGGGGAGCAGGTCTTTAAGCCGCCTTCCTGTACAGGTCCAGCTGAGCCCTGGGGAAGAGGCCAGGGTCTGGACTTGCTAGCTGTTGTTTGCTTGTTTGTTTTTGTTTTTCAAGACAGGGTTTCTCTGTAGTTTTAGGAGCCTGTCCTGGAACTAGCTCTTGTAGACCAGGCTGGTCTTGAACTCACAGAGATCCACCTGCCTCTGCCTCCCGACTGCTGGGATTAAAGGCAAGCACCATCAGCACCAGACAACTTGCTAGCTGTTTACTGGCCCTTTGAGACTCACATCCCTCAGGGTACAGGAAGATGTTCCTGGTATGGGTGAAAATGACCTCTGCCAGGAGATGCTTGCCACACAGGGGGGCTCGTGAGTGGCCAGGCCTAAGCAAAGTCTGGAAGTTAGTTGAAGTGAAGACATCTGTGGGGTAGCCACATGGGGAGGAACTGTGGGGTTCACAGGAACTGACCCCAAAAGGGGTCCTGTGTGCTTGGCTGTTGGCCAACCCTCATGGGATCACACAGCTGTCAAAACTTGCATAGTGGGTAATAAAGAAGGGGTGCGTAGGCCCTAAGTGATCGGACCCTGCTTCCGGGAATTTAGACAGACATAGGACTCTTTCTTGGGATGGGGATGTGGCTCAGTTGCAGTACTTGCCTAGTGTACACAAAACCCTGGGCTCCATTCCTGTGACTACATAAAGTGGGCACACACCCATCATCCCAGCACTGAGACAGGAGGATCACAAATTCAAGGTCGTCCTTGACTATGTAGTGAGTTTGAGATCTCAAACCAAAATGACCAAATCACCTTTCTCCCGGGGTCTCACACTCAAGGCTGGGTGGGCACTGCAGGGGTCCTCAGGGGCCCCTCCTGTTGACACAACTCAGATCGGTTTCTTTGGAAAATGGGGGCATGATCAGCACACCTGTGTTGTGGCGTCAGCCTGTCTGCCCACTGGAGTTGGGAGCTGGTCCAAATTCTACCATGCCCTGACCGTCTGAGGCTAGGAAGGCATCAACGGTGCCTGTAGCCCCTGCTGTTGGCCAAGGTGTGGCTGGCCCTCAGCATGAAGGTGCCCAGGCCAATACAGCAGTCTGTGTTGAGGAAGTCCAAGGCAGCAGTTGTGGTAATGGCTACTGCCTGTTTCAGGAGCTTCCCTAGCAGCACCGTTCCTTGTCTTGTAGCTCTGGGCCCCTAGTCAGGCACCGGTGCCAGGAGGCCACCAGGCCCAGCACGCAGCTTGCAGTCAGGCACCTGACACAGGTGTGCCATGCCCCTTAGGAGTCCCAGAGCTGCTGACACACAGGACCCTGTGTGCCTCCAAACCTTGTTTGGTGGGTTTTGGTTTTCCAAGACATGTTGGCTCTGTAGCTCAGGCTGGGTATCAGAATTCCCCTGCCTCAGCTGCCTAGTGCTGGGATCACAACCTGCTCAGCTTCAGTCCCAACCAAGCCTCATCCTTTTCAAAAGACACAACAGGTTGGGAATAAAACATTTTTAATTGAGCCCATAGCACCTGCCCCCAAGCAGAGGGCATTCCCAAGTACCCTGGCTTCCACTGCATGGGGACCCCAAAGCATCTTTTCCCCACTGGACCCCCACTCACACCCACCTACTTGGGACTTTATCTCAATAAATATGACCTCAGAACCGAAAGAACCGGAGCTGGGCAGGGAGCCCCACACAGCTCACAAACAGGCTGCAGACCTAGGGCACTTGAAAGAAAGGACAGGGCATGGGGGTGAACCAGAACCCGCCTCAGCTGGGTGAAGCACAGGCCTCAGGTGGACACCATGTCCCCGGCCCTGGCTTCAACCACTGCAGGCCATTCTTTCTAGTCACAGAGCCACAGCTGCCTGTCCAAAACTTCCATCAGCACCCGTAGTTTTGGTCTTGACCGAATTCTGGGCAGGAAAGGGGAAACAGGAACCAGAAGCCTGAGGACAAATGGAGCAAGGCTTTTTGAAGACAACGGAGTCTAAAGCAAGGAAGAGGAATGAGGTCGTGGACTAGGTCACTGTCCAGGGTGCACGCCTTAGGAGCCAGAATCTCTGGCCTGGGTTTGGGCAACCCGGGAATCGCGGGTGGTCTGGCCCAACTCCCTACGGATGTCACCGAGCGCTGATTCCGGGTTCTCCAGCAGCCGCTGGAAGAGGCTGGGTCTGGGGCGGGGCTCACGGCACTGGAAGGTGACAGCCACGCCCGCATCCGCCTTCATCTCCCGGGAGAAGCCGTCGGAGGAGCCGTCGAAACAGCGGCCGATGGCGATCTCCTTGGCCAGTCGTGGGCTCTGGTCAGTGACCGTATAGACGCCATAGTTGTGACCCAGCGCGTCGAGCGGAGCGAGCATAGCGAAGGCCGTGGGGTCGTCGTTGGAAGCAGGTGGTGGATGGCGGGCTAGGTAGTCCTGCAGGAGCGTGTTGACGGCCACGCGGCGGCAGCTGCCCTGCGGGGTCACGGTCACCAGCGTCCTGTCCACCTGGCGCTGGTCAAACAGCATGCCGCCGCACTTGAATTCCACGCAGGCGGCCGAGGCGCCGGGGCGCTCGGGGTGGCGCACGCTGCGGGTGTCACGAAGGCCATAGAGGCGGCCTTGAGTGGCCGCGTGGGTGCCGCCCGCGTTGTGCGAGCGTACCATATACTCCTGCGGGCCCTGCAGCCGCACCTTCAGGAAGCACGCGCGGAACTCCTGCGGGTTGGGCCACCAGGCCAGCAGGTCTCCAGTCCACGAGGCGGGCGCTCCCTCCCGGAACGGTACCACGTCGTACTCGTACTTGTCCGCCTCCACGCGCGAGAATCGGAAGTGGCTGTCGGTGACCGGCGCGTCCTCGCAGTCGCGCAGACGGCGCCATGGATACACGGGCCCACGCGCCTCGGACTCACGGCCCGCGCGTGGCCGCGCAAGATTCACGCGGAAGCCGGTGCGCTTGAGCGCCGGGTCGTCGTGGTCTGTGCGCTGGTAGCCAAGGCGCTCCAGGAAGGGCTGTGCCACACCAACGGTGGCCGCGGTCGCGCGTGGCCGCGACGGAGCGGCCTCCAGTTCCTCGCCGCCCAAAGTCGCTGTCACCAAAGCTGTGTAGGCGTCGGGCCGCTCGGCGTCGCAAAAGGCGGGCACGCACGCGCCGTTGGGCCCGGTGACCACGCTGTCGAAGCGGCCCCACGCGCGCGGGTTGCCCGTGAAGCCGGGCGCGGGCTCCAGGTTGAGCAGCGTCACCACCACGCCCTGCACCTGCTCGGCGGGCGCGAAGCGGTCGGTGCCGTAGGCGCGGACCTTCACGAAGCAGCGGCGCCGCTCGGGCACGTCCAGGTTGAAGAGGCGGCGCTCGCGCACGGTGAGCGCGCCCACGAGGAAGGCGCGCTCCTCCCTGCGCACGCGCGCCGCCGCCTCCTCCCGCCGGAAGCCGCCTCCTCCCTGCTCCGCCCGCTCCTCCTCCCACAGGCCGGTCTCCGGCTCCAGCGACCAGAGTGCCAGCGCCTCCGCGTGGCCGGGCATGCGCACGTGCTCGGCGTCCACGCGCACGGTCGCGCGCGCCGCGTGCAGCTGCTCTGCAGAGCCGGGCGCGCGCAGGTCGACGGCGAACATGCCGTAGGTGCGCAGCGGCGCCAGTTCGCCCGAGCTGTCCAGGAAGCGCAGGTCGCTGGACGCCGCGCGCGCCGACGCCAGGTCACGGGGGTCCACGAAGGTGACACGCGCCTCCACCGGCCCGGCGTAGGTACGGCCGTCGGGGTGGCGGAAGGTACCGGGCGGCAAAACCAGCTCACCTAACGCAGGAGCCGCCGCCTCCTCCGAGCCGCCCAGCGGGATTGCACCGCCGCGCTCTGCGTCCAGCAGCACTGTGGCCGCCTTGCGCAGCGCACGGACTTCGTGGTACACGCCGGCGCCGCGGGGGTCGAAGGGCAGCACGCGAACGCTGTCCACGAACTCGCCACTCGGGTCCACGAAGGTCACCACGAGGCGCTCGGTGGCCGGCGGCACCTCGATGGTGAAGTCGCCCTGGTAGGAGGTGAAGCCGATGGGCGCACGGCCCAGCAGGATGCTGGCGAAGCGCAGGGGCTCCCCCGAATCCGCAGCCACCACGCGGCCCCTCACCAGCCCCCGTCGGGGCAGGCACTTGCGACAGCCACACTCAGCCACCACCTTCACCGGGAGCACGTAGCCGGAGCAGCGGATGTCCCTGCTCTCCAGGCGCAGCACCGAGCAGCAGCGAGCTCCCGCGTCCCCACAGCGAGGGCCGGAGCCCTCGGGGCCCGGGCAGCGTGTGTCCGTGCACAGGCCCACGTCTAGGTATGCGGGGCCGCCGCCCGGCTGGCGGCAGTCGTCGGGAAGCTTGATCAAATGTTCCTGAGGTCGGGGGTCGCAGGCCGGCTGGCCAGGAGCTGGGGAGTCCACACACCCGGGTCAAAGGAGGGTAACTGAGGTGAGGGGGCGTGGGCTGGGCTCGGGTGGGGCGGGACGGGGCTGCTCACCGAGCACTGTGAGCTGGGCGGCGCGGGAGCGCACGGCACCAGCCTCGTTCCAGGCCTTGCAGTGGTAGTCCCCTGCCTGGTCCTCGCGAAGCCCCTGGAGATCCAGGTGCGGCCCAGACCCGTGCTGGCGCCGGTCTAGCAGGGTCCCGTTGTGGAACCTGAAGGAGGCAGTTGAATCACATCGTGGGGATCTTAGGGATGATGGCCCGACCACCTCTGTCACTAGGAGGAGGTTTATGTTTTGTCGACCCTAGGCTGATTTTGAACTGCAGATCCTTAGCCGGGCGGTGGTGGCGCACGCCTTTAATCCCAGCACTCGGGAGGCAGAGGCAGGCGGATCTCTGTGAGTTCGAGACCAGCCTGGTCTACAAGAGCTAGTTTCAGGACAGGCCCCAAAACCACAGAGAAACCCTGTCTCGAAAAACAAAAAAAAAAAAAAAAAAAACAAAACTGCAGATCCTTGAGCCCCTGGTGTGCCCTGCCAGACCTGCTTTGTTTTTTCTTTTTTCTGAGACATGGTGCCACCACTGTGTAGCCCACACTACTTCAAGCTCACAACAGTCCTCCTGCCTCAGCGCCTGGATAAAGTGTTCATCACAAACAACACCTTAGGTTTTTAGAGGTACCACAGGGTTACAAGAACTCCTGCCACCCCAAAGCTCACTAGTTCCCTCAGTTCATGAAGACACTCACCAGGAATATTTCTTAGGCATGGGGGTCCCCGAAGCCTTGCAGCAGAAGATCACGTGCTGACCTGCCTCTCTCACTTGGGACTCGGGGTGCTTTACCAGGTATGGCTTTCCTGAGGGAATAGGAGTTGGCCAAGTTCATGACCCTGCTATGCCCCCAGCGACCCCCTTTTCATCCCGTTCTCTCAGGGACAGCCTGCCTCACCCTGTACTGTCAACAAGTGAGTCACATCTTGGTTTTTTTTCCCTTGGCCTGAAACATCCTCCCCTGTCACCCCTACGTTCTTGGCTGTAAGGACACTCACCTAACTCCTTAAGGACGATGGTGACCACGGCTGAGTTGGAGCTGTTGGCATGGGCCTGGGCTGTACCAACTGAGAAGCCATCCATCTGGGCACTGACATTGACTTGACTGCCAGCACAGACTCCAGGAACCCGGAAGGTTCCATGGGTGTCACTGGTGGCTACAGTGCCAGGTCGGGCTCGAAGGAAGACCCTGGCTCCTGGCAGTGGTCGCCCAGATGGGGTGACCACTGAGCCCAAGAGGGTGTGGTCAGAGCACTCACAGCTGTCAGAGCTACACCCTAGGGGAACACGGGGGTGGGGGGAGGCAGAGAGAACTCTTGGGGAGAGTTTTGCACTCAGTCATTCAACAAACATACCCCCCCATCAAGTCCCCTCAGGCGTCAGTGTGGCTGGATTTGAGTGAGTCTGGAGACAGGAATGAATGGGCACAGCTGGACTAGTTGGAGGAAGCTGGATCCAGAGACGCGGGAAAGAAACTCTGAGGAGGGGACCCAAGAAGTTGATTCACAAAAGGTGGCGAGGAGAACTCGTCCACAGGAACACCTAGGCAGGGCTAGGAGCCAGGGGCTGTCTTGGACAACATCTGTTTCGCTGCTAATGCTGCCACTTCTTTACAAAATGGAAAATTACAGTGGAAACTTGAAGGGAGAGGTGCCGGAGATGGGGTGGGGTCCCCACCCTATGAGGGCTCTGCTGCAGCGGTTACAGACCATGTTTGTGGAATTTCCAGTCCCCTCCTGGCTGGCCCTGGAAGGGCCTGGGCATTGTGTCTGCCAAGGTGTGAGCACTGTGTCTGCGTGGGCGAGCAGGGCAGGCGGAGGCTGAATGCTACATGCGTTCACTCAGAGTATGCAACTGGCTTGCGTTTGCACACAGGGCTACCTTTGTGTGTGCACTAGAGGAAATGGCCCCTCGGGTCTGGCCATGCCTGCCTGGCATCTACCGACCTTTTGCGCAGTCCCTTTCCCTTGCGCCTAGGATTCTATGCCCAGTAAAATAGCATTCGGTTGTGCGCAGTCACGGTCCATCGGGCAAAGGAGGGAAGGGGTTGCCAATATTGGACCCTTCTAGACCCCGACCTAGGTCCCAAGTTCCTCCCTTTACTGGCCTGGCCTCTTCTGGCCCTGCCTCTTCAACTAATCCTGCCCTCTGGGCTCCTCTTTATGCAGGCCCCACCCCTGACCGTCCCTCTTCAGGGCCCGTCCCCTCCTACCTGGACACCTGGACCTCACGCACTTCTGCGCCTCCTGGGGGCTCCCAGGACACTTATCCCCAGAAGAGCTTTGACAGCTGCGGCGGCGCAGGCGACGGCCTGGCCCGCAGCTCTTGGAGCAGAGACCCCACGCGCCCCATGCGCCCCATGCGGCCTCTGCGGAGCAAGGAGGAAGATAAGGAGCTGTCAGCCCCCTACAGAGGGCTCTCTGGACTAAGCGGATCCGGTTCCCTGGCAGACACGCACCCTGACTGCAGAACACACCCCGGCTCCCTGCCGGGTGCACTCCTGGTTAGCCCTGCTGTTCCCCATCAGTCTTGAATATGACGGGGGGGCTCAAGCCATCCCCCAGCACTGAGCTATTCGGGATGGATTGTTGGGGTCCTGGCACGTCGATACTCGCCCCCTCAAACCAATGCCCGCAGGGTGTAGGTGTGTCTCATCGAAGCCACGCCCACACGACCCCACCTCGGTGGAAACGCAGGCCCAGCTCTCACCGGATCTTGCTCCTCAGGGTCACACTTTCATTGTCCCCGCCCGCCCAGGACTACCTTACCCACTGGGCAGCGGAAGCGCACGTGGTAGTTGGAGCAGCGGCGGCCTCGGGGCTGCTCCCAATTGAGACACCAGAAACCGCGTGCCGGGTTGGCGTGCACGCGCTCGCCCATGGATGCCGGTAGCGCCCAGTCTGTGGTGCGCGCCTCCAGCGCCAGCGGCCGCGGGCACACGCGCGCGGGACCGTAGTAGAAGCGGATGGCGGCCAGGCTCTCGAAGTCGCCATCTCCTCCGGGGTGGTCTACGTTGAACCACGACGTCCACTCGCTGGCCTCTGCGGGCATCGCGTGTTGAGCCCGGGTCCCCACCTCCCGTCAGTCCCTCCAGCTTGGGGCCCTGGGGTCAGGGTTTCCAGAAGCTACGATGTCCAAGGACTACTCTCCCCACCCTCCCCCATATCTCCACCATGCCCAGGTCACACAACTCGGTCGCAAGACGACTTACCCTCCCAGTCCTCCAGGGCTGGCGAGGGCTGGCCGGGGTCTGGCGGCCATCCTACAAGATCCCTGGTCGCTGCAGTGCGCTCCTTGGTGGGGTTAGCATCTGTAAGAGTGCAAGGTGGGGGACCGCTGGGACCCCCCCTCTGGTGCAACAGGACCACTGCATTTCACGGGATAGGAAACAGCTCTAGCCCTGGGGTCTGCAGCGCTATGCCTTCGGCTCCTAGTCCCATTACTGGCAGTGGACCCTGAAGCCCTGTCCTTCAGACTCAAGTGTTCATCAAACACAAGTTTAGTCGCGTGCATTCGGCGGTGCCTCTGCCCGCAGACCGCTGCGTTCTCTTCCTAGAAGTTCCTTTTGCTCTACTCTCCCCGTTCTTTCTAGATGGGGTTCAAGGTGTTAACAGAGAAGTCTTTGGCTTCTCTGGCCTCCAACTTCCCAAGATGGATTAGGAGGGGTGACAGGTTCAGGCGAACCCCTTCTTCTTGGAGTCTCAGTCTTCTGAGAAATGGGCCTGTCACCAGCTACGCGTAGGGACAGCTCCGATCCATGGTTAACTCCTGGCCTGGTGCTCTATCCCCAGAGAGGATGGAAAGAAGAGGTCTCTTTCGGTCGCTCTGCTCTCTGTGAAGCTCGTGAGGTGCCCCACCCACCTCCTTTGATGCGCGCACAGTGATCAGCCTCCCGGCCCCAGGGCATCTCACCTCGCGCTCCCACTAGGTGCGCGGCTGCGATGCAGAGACAGAGCAAGGGCAGCGGTGGTGCCATCGCCAGGTCACAGCGGCTCTGCAAAGCGCTCGGATCCGACTGGGGCGGGTCGGGCGCTTGCTAGGGACTGATGGGGGCGGGACGCGGCCGCAAGCCACGCCCCTATAAACCACTCTAGGTTGCCCTTTCTCTAGGCCTCCGGCGGTGCCTCGCCCTCAGACTGCAGCCCACGTTCCTCCTCCGCCTTCTCCAACTAGATCCCGTGTCGCGTGGGAGGCGCCATTTGGTCTTAAACTTGAAACTGCTGGACACTTCGGCGGCTGGAAATTATCTGTCGTGTTTAACTTCGGTCTTAACTCTAGGAGACTCCCGACAGCCGAAGTCCCACCCGAGTCTACCCTCTATTCTAGGAAGCTCCACGGCGCAACCCCTCTCCTCAAACAGCGAGGGAAGTTCCTTCTCCACTCGTCCATCCCCTTGGTCTGGCGCACAAAGGAGGCGGAGGAAGAGATGGTGGAGATGTTTATTGGTACAGGTCACAGCGCGGCCACGCAGTCGGTGCCAGTATATTTTGGCAGGAGCAGGCCAAACTTGCGGCGCACGTCGTCAGGCACGAACCTGCCGACCACAAAGTGGTGGTGCCCGGAGAAGCGACTCGCGCAGCTCTTGGGCGCAGCGAAGGACACTAGCACGTCGGGCTGCACCTCATCCTTTGCGTCGCCGCCAGCCTCGGTGTCCCAACCTGAGGGCGGAAGAGGGGGAGCTGGGAGGACCGAGGCTCCCGGGCAGGGTCTGCCCTGTCTCCCTCCAGGTTCCGTGCCTCAACCTCCGACACGTGGTTAGTGGTCAGACCTGCTGACCGCAGAACCGCTTACTCCCTTTCCACCGTCCCTCTGTCTTCTGATCTGTGCCCCAGCAGACAGAAGCCGCCTTGCTCAGACCAGACCTTCCTCACCCCCGACCAGTTTTCCCACCCTGTACCTGTGACCTGAGACCCTCCCTCAGAACTGTGCCCTTACCTCCCCACTGGGTTTCACGTCTCCCTGGCCCTCTGGCCCATCCCAAACCATCCAGGAGTCTTTGTCAACCCTGTCCGAGGACAAGCACCTCGGACTTCCTTCCTGCCTCAGGCATTAAACCATAATAAATAAGCCACCTGCTCCTCTCTCTAATAAGAGGCTTCCAACTGCAGGGTCCCTCTTTTTTCGGGTCCACCTGCAGCCTATCCCCTCTTCCCAGACTAGCTATGCCTTGGTCTTGATCTGGACTGGTCCTGGGACCCTCAAACTGGGGACACTACCACGCAGCCCCCAAAGAGGACTGAAAGCTGTTTGTCCCTGGCAGGCGTGGCCTCTGAGGACTGAGCTCACATCTGCTCTGCAGCAGGGCCAACGGTGGGTGGTGCCCGTTTAGCTGGGTACCCGGACCAAGAGGACACCGGGTCACTTGGGGCAGCCACTTGTAACTTCCCCATCCTTAGGAAGGGTGTGAAATAGGATGAGGGCAGAAGCGGAAATTGAGGTTGAATGAGGAAAACCAAGGCTGGGGCTGGGGGGGTGTAAAAGGGAGACACTGAGGCTGGAAAAGGTGGATGGAGAAAACAGACTGGGGTGGCATGCCTGAAGGGACGTCCAGGCTCACGAGCGGGATGGAGAGCCGCTTCAGAGTGGCCAGCGCGCGCGCGCAGGGCCCGCCCGCCTCCGCCGGCCTCACTCCGGGGCCTAGCACTGCGTCCACCACTAGCCCGTAGGCGTCATCGATGAGCCGCACCTGGGGGGAGGGGGTGGGCGGTGTGAGGGGCCGGATTGGGGACGGGTCAGGGCGGGGTCAGGGTAGGCTCAGCTGACCTCGGCGGGCAGAAAGGACAGGAAGGGAATGTCCATCTTCTCGCACTGCGTGGTCAGGTCGCAGTGCAGAGCGTCGGCCGAACGCGCCGGGCAGAAGATGCTGGGCTGGTAGTCCTGGGGGAACCCGGGTCTGGTGATGGCGGCAGCAGGAGGGAGACCACCCCAGTTCTTGTCCCCAGCGGAACCCCAACCCAGCTCTGTTCCCCGCCATAGGACCCTGCTACTCACGAACACCCGCAGGTGCCGGGCACACGCTAGCCCCACAGCGCCGTTCTGCTCCGGGCCGCACACGACCAGTACCGTCCTCTGCTTGCGCGACAGCGAAGGCAAAGGGAACGCCTGGGGCGTAGCAGAGGAACAGAGTGGTGGTCTGCATACAGGCCCAGTGTGGTTTGTTTACTCCATGCACTTTGGACACAATCCCTGCTTTCTTGGCGCAGATACCCCCAAGTTACACTGAAAAGTGGGGTTAACCCGGAGGAAGGTCCGCAATCGGACAAACGTGGCGCCTAGACCATCTGTCTGCCCCGCTCCTGCCTTTACTATTTCCTGTTTGCGTTCTATTTCAGAAACTCAGTCTGTCTACATGTTTTGTTGTTGTTGTTGTTGTTATTGTTTGAGAGGTTCTCGCTCGGGCTGGTCTTGGACTTGCAGCAATACTCCTGCCTCAGGAGCTGCTGGACTGGCAGTTGCAAGCCACCACGAGGACAGTCTAGGCTACCGAAGAGGGTCAGTGAGGTGGCTCAGCAGGTAAAGGAGTTTTCTTGAGACCCACATGGTGGAAGAACATTAGTGCCCACAAACTGTCTTCCGTGCTCCACATGCTCACGCTCACACGGGGGAGGGGCAATAAATGTAGTTAAAAAATTTTTTAAGGAAGGACAGGCGAGACACAGGCGGAGAGGGACTTCTGCATTTATAACCTCTATGAATTGCCTGTTCATAGAGGCTTCTAAGGGCAGGCTCAGTGGGCCTCAAAGCCAGCTCCTCTGGCGTCATCCACACTCTCCTGTCATATTGGGGGCACCTGAGTACTGCTTCAGACCTCATTTGACTACCCTGCCCATCCGGACCTGCTTCCTCGTGGGGACATTTAGGGGTGTTCAGATGGTAGGTAAGCTCTTATGGGTTGCACTTCTAGGGGAACCAGGCTTGCAATTCGAGGGCCCAAGCCCCACCCTGTAGGTGCTCCCCCATCTGAGTCTGAGGACCCCACTTCTCCCTTGTCTGGCAGTGAGCCTGAAAACGAAGCCTTGTACTTCAGCTTCCCCACGCAAGCGATGGGTTGAAGTAGCCCCGAGCAAAGGGGGCTAGTACCTTGGCCACAGCCACCGCACTGCCGTGTCCGCATAGTTCCACCAGCTGCTGCCGCCCAAAGCGGTACTCGTCCAGCAGCTCCCGCTCCAGGGCGGCCGCCTCCGAGATGCTGCGGGCAGAGTCGGACAACACGCTCAGAGGCGCAGAAAGGGAACGGAGACTCGAGGATGGCTGCCCAGATCCGGCGGAAGGCTCTGGCCTAGTCCTTACCCACGAGGAGTTTCAGGGGCCATCATTTCTTGCCCTGTTTCCCCATCCCACAAGCTTGGTTTGAAATGGCAGTCGCAGCCTGAGGCATGAGCGCCCCCTGGTGGTAAAAGATGCACATGTGGCTCAGCATGTTTTTTTTAAAACCCCAAAGAAAGCTGAGCAACCCAGAGATCAGGAGAAAAGATTCTGAATACAGACTGATCCCCCCAAGCCACATATCCCAGGGTGTCATCGGACTCTTAATTCTCTTCCCTCACCCACCCCCAAACCTTAAAAAAAAAACTTAAAAAAAAAAACCTTAAAAAATTTGACCGGGAGGTGAGTTGATTCTGATGCAAGGACCGATGAGGAAGTTCTAGGACTCCAGGGGGGGGAAAATGAAAATGGGACCCTCAACTATGAGACCCTTGACGACCCATCTTACAGGACAATAAAATTAACATATCTGAGACTGGTTTTGTAGCCCATGCCTTTAATTCTAGGACCCGGGAGGCAGAGGCTGGCAGATTTGTGTGAGTTTAAGAGCAGCCTTCGCTCCTGGCCAATCAGGGCTATGTAGTGAGACCCTATCAAAGGTGTGTGCCATCAATGATGGACACGAGACCCTATCTTTAAAAAGAAAGAAAAGATTATCTGGACCAACCTGGCTAAGAGCTACCTCTACCTCTAACAAACTGAAGGCAAGAATAGATTACGTAATTCACGAGTCTGTGTTCAAAAGTCATTAGCAATTTAATGTTGCATGTGTAAGGTCCCACATTCTACACCCAGCACTAGGAAAAAAAGAATTTTTAGAAAGCAATGGCAGTGCTAAGCATGTCTGATCATGGGAAGCAGAGCAGAGGCTGGGGGCCAGGTGAGCTGGCAAGAGAGACTGTTCTAGAGAACCAGGGCTGGGGTAGCATAGGGCCCGCTTGGTGCCATTAGTCTTTCCAGCTGTGCCTATTGGCCAGCGGTCACAAACTGTCTTCCCCGCTCCACATGCTCACACTCACACGGGGGAGGGGCAATAAATGTAATTAAAAATTTTTAAAGGAAGGAGAGGCGAGACACAGGTGGAGAGGGGCTTCTGCATTTATAACCTCTATGAATTGCCTGTTCATAGAGGCCCCTAAGGACAGGCTCAGTGGGCCTCAGATGCCAAGAGATGACCACAGGCAGGGCATCCTGGAGGAAGGGAGGAGCTCCAAGGGAGGTAAAAGCAAGAAGTTAGAGCACTGGAACAAGCAGGACAGAGCACTCAGTGCCACACGCCTTTAATCCCAGCATTCAGAGGCAGAGGCAGGCGGATCTCTGAGTTCCAGGACAGCCTGGGCTACAGAGAGAACAACCATCTACCACACCCCCCTGCAAACAAAGCCCTGTGAGGAAGACATAGGAGCACAGGTGCAGGGTAGAAACCCTAGAAAGGCGGGTGTGGCGCCGCAGTTAGATGAAGGGGCCTGGGCTACTTGCCCGGCTTCTGGGACAGCACAATCAGTGTGCACAGACATGGTGGCACCTGGAGGGTAAGGCAGGACCATCACAAGTCCTGAGCCAGCTGGTCTACTTAGTGAAATTCTGTCTCAAAAAACAAGTTTGTGGGACTGAAAGATGGATCACTGTACTGCTCTTGCAGGGACTGAGTTCAGCTCTCAGAACCCACACCAAGCAGTTCACAGCCACCTGCAACTCCAGTGCCAAGGGATCCAATGCCTGTCACCCCCACAGGCACCAACACACACACACACACACACACACACACACACACACACACACACACAAAATCAAGAGATGCCTTAAGTTGGTAAACTGCTTGCCTTGCAAGCATGATGACCTTAGATTAATTCTCAGAACCCATGGGGGAAAAAAACCCAGCTGGGTGCAGTAGGTGTGCCTGTAACCCAAGCACTGGCAAGGTACTGGCCAAGACAGGAGGATGTGTGGAACTCACTCACTGGCCAGCCAGTATGAAATCAGTCAAGTTTAGGTTCAGTGAGAGACTCTGTCTCAAAAAAATCAGGTGGAGAAAAATAAAGGAAGACACCTGATGTAGACCTCTGGTCTCCACTGGCAAGCACACGCATTGCTGTGCAGAGACTTAGCCCCCACCTTTGTCTGACAGCCATGGCTGCCTCTGCAGGGGTGGTGGTGATGGTCTCCTCCGACAGCGGGCAGTCAGGGGAATAACCCGACCAAGGGGCAGCAGCTAACTCTGGAGAACAGAGTGGACAAGAGCTCAAGGGACCAGCAGGGAAGCCCTTCTGCTATTTGGAGACTGTTAGGAGGGAGGTCTCCCCCCACCCCATCAATGCTGCTCCTAAGATAAGGACAGCAAGGCTAGGGTCTCCTTTCAGGCCCAGTGCTGAGGTCTGAAAAGGGAACTGAGTCTGACAACCCTGAATCACTTCTAGAAGGGCACCGGAGGTGCTCTCCCCAACACCCGTACCCATCGCCGTTGCTCACCTTGTGGCCTGCACACACTGTCTCTGTGCCCTGAAATGAACCAGCATCATAATCCATAACCCCCACCCCGAGCTTTCTTGGCTTCCAGTGGCAGCTGATATTCAAAGCCTCTGTGTAACTCCAAGTCCCTCAGGATAATTGCACAAACAGTGAGGGGAACTGAGGGTCGGCTTGCCTGGAATGCGGTTTCCCTGGCAACTCGGCTACTGCTGCACCCGCAAGCTCCCAGCAGACCCTAGGACCCACCCCAGTCATTCCCCTGCCTCTACCCAGGCCTCAGCTCCCTGTCACCTGCTAACCTGAGAAAGCACCTCTCCTCTGGCGCCTCTCCTGGGCCTTTGTCGCTGCAGGCACTGCTGTTCATGGTCACACAGGCAAGCTGGCTCCCCGCTGCCTTTTAAGCAAGCCCCATGGGCGGAGCCCTGTGGCTGAATGCTTGCTTGAGAGGCACTGCGTGCAGCTATTGGCCAAAGCACAGGGATGACTTAACCCTGAGGAGTCCGGGTAGCAGACAGGTGAAGACGCAAGAGAGTCACATGATGGCGTTTACTTGACTATTCTTTATTGTGGGCGTCGGCTCGGACCCTACGTGTACCAGGTGAAGCCGTAGTTGGCGTTGTTCAACTCCTCCTTGGGGCGCAACCCATACAACTCGCTGGGGAGGGGCGGCACCCAGCGCGTGGTGTGGAACATAGACTCACCCACCTGTGGGCAGGGTCAGGGTCAGGATCAGTCCTTATCAGTCCCAGATGGCCACACCATGCCACTCCACCCCACCCTACCCCAACCCGGAGCGTACCTTCCAGTCAGGCACGTCTTTCATGATGATGGCCTCCTCCTCCAGGTTCTCCCGAAGAAGCTGCAGGGTCCTGTGGCCATAAGGCGGGGCTGAAATCAGACGCACCAAGAGCAACCACTCTGTTCCTTCCTTGACCCAGAAGCCCCTCCCAACCTGCCTACCTCCGGTCCATTTCTGCCTGGAAGAGCGGCATGAGAGCAATCCGGGCCTCCAAGTCCTCAATCTGCAGGCGCCTGTAAAACCACCACACCCACTCTGGGTTAAATGGGCTCACTGAGGGAGAGTGGAACATGCAGGAAGCTGGTGGGGACGGGGCCCGGGTGGGGGTGGGGCAAGGCTAGCCACCTAAGTTGGGACAGGAAGACAAGCCTGCAGCTGGCAGACTACAGCAGCCACAAAAGTGTTGGCTTCACACTTTCCTTTCAAATAAACTTTATTTTATCCTAAAAATAGCCCCGTCTGATGATCTGGGTGAAGAGGGGGCACACTCATCACCAGGCTCTGGCCTTACAAACCAATTTCCCTTTGTTCTCAAAATAGCAGGATGCTGGGCCTGCAGGTTTCCCCACAACTATTACCCGGCAGAAAGTCAGGAGCCTCTCAGCTTCAGAGGCTGGGGAAGCAGCCCAGGGATGTGGCCCAGGAAGAGGTCTCTGGCGGGGCTCTGCCCAGCGACACCCCTCATCATTCACGATCCTAGTCTCTCTGGCCTCCAGGGGACCTGCCTCCCATGGCCAGGTTCCTTTTCTGTTGTGCTCTCACTGTGTGGCTCTGGCTGGTCTTTCTCTATGTCCCAAACCCCAGTCATAGCTGGCCTGGTGACCTACTGTTTATGCTAACCTGGTCAGGGAGGGAACAGATGAAGGCTGGTCACCAGCTCTTCACTTTAGGTAAGGCCCCGGACAAGCAGCCAGCCAAGCACCACCACCACCCTCACGGAAGCCCTTGTGGTGAGCAGGGCCCTACCTGCGCTCCCGGTTCCACCTCATTATTCTCCAGTAGCCGAAGAGCAAGGCCCCGATGCCCACCGCGAACATGCTGTAGCCTGCAAGAGAAGGAGGCTTCCTGCTCAGCACGGTCCTTCCAGGACCCCCCAACTCAGCAACACTGGCTCTCTCTGTGAAGTACCTGCTGGTTCTCCCCTCCTCCACAGGTGCCTGTCCTTCCTCAGCCACTTCCCCATGACAGTCTCTAATTCCTGGGCTCTGGGTCAGGGTACTAGGCAGTCCGAGCTGCCACCCTTTCTGGAAGGTACAGGCCACAGGGACACAGGAGAGCCCCAGGGTCTGGAACAGTGTTTCTTAACACATGGGTCACGAGCCCTTCAGAGTTTAAACAACCCTTTCACAGGGGTCACAGATATCCTGCATATCAGATATTTACATTATGCTTCATAACCATAGCAAAATTAGTTATGAAGTAACAATGAAGATAATTTTATAGGCTGGGGTCATGTGAGGAACTATATTTTTTGTTATTTTTGTTTTTTGAGATAGGGTTTCTCTTTGTAGACCAGGCTGGCCTTGAACTCACAGAGATCTGCCTGTTTCTGCCTCCAAATGCTGGGATTAAAGACGTGTGCCACCACCACAGGTGAGGAATTATATTAAAGGGTCATAGCATTAGGAAGGTTGAGAACCACTGATCCAGGTGTAGTGGCGCACACCTTTAATCCCAGCACTCGAGACACAGGCAGACTGATCCCTGTGAGTTTGAGGCCAGCCTGGTCTACAGAGTTCCAAGTCAGCCAGGGCTGTTACACAGAGAAACCCTGTCTTGGGGAAAACATAACAAACGGTAACAAAAACAACAAAATAGAAGCTGCCTTTAAAGGGCTCTGACACCACCAACATAGGCTGGAAGTGTGGGCACCACCGTTTCAGCAGGATAGGTCACCTGCCCTATTCCCAGGGGAGACAGGTGCCACCATAAATAATTACTGAAGATTAGCAGGGGCAGCTCCAATCCTA